TTTTTTTGCTAAATCTGTCTAAAAAGGTCAAATATCACTTGTTTTGCATCAATCTTGATACAGGGTACTTATTATATGTTGTACTTTGGATTCCTAAAGCTTTTAGTCTACTAACCCATCATCCAAGGTTAGTTTTCACTATAAGTACAAAATATCTTTTGGACGGACACTATAATTTACAGTTTTTTACCATGTTCAATCTGAATTTTCTTTAAAATATATATATTGATTCTGACTTTTCTACATCCAACTCACAGGTCTATCATTACTTTGAGAAAAAAGATTATTAATGTAACCCTTTTAGAAGGGAAGATTTGGTCATTTGTTCTGCGAATGTCATTTTCGAGCCTGAAACCTGAAAAACAGGCTTGGGGCTGAAGAGGTTTTAAGGCAGATCTTGAATGCAGGTCTCTTACTTGTTGTGGTATATTCCTACAGCCTGGTATAAGAACTGCTAAGTAAAGAGTCTGAATACTTCTTCCACCACATGGTGAACATCTCAGAGATGTGTCTGATGTGCATGGGTTCACCTGTAGCGATGAAGGACAAGGCGATGGAGGCTGACAGGTTGCTCAGAAGCGGCTGCCTGCAGTATCTGGAGGATTTTGGACTTTCAACAAAACACGTACGATGATTAATGCAACATTTCTTTTTTTTTCTCCAAATGACTCATGGTGCCATAACCTGTGACCTATAGTTACCTTGCCATGACGTAGAACTGAGGGACCAGGACAAGAGCTGCAAACACTGCATTCACTATCTGACTACAAATGGAATAAAACATCAGTAGTAAAACACCCTGCGTTTGAATAAATGTACATTGCATTTTTTTCTATCAGATCAAAACAGAAACATGACTCATGGAAACAGCACTTACAATTTTAGCCTCTGATTCCTTGGTATCCACCGGCTGCTATGATACGCCACGAAGATTAGCATGTAGAGAAACATGGAGGATACACACTCCAGCAGACTTTACTGTAACACTACTCCTGGATGTAGCTGCAAATGTGAGCAGGAGGAAGGCTTGTGTTACAGAAACCTCTGCTGCATGATAGAAGAGCAACTAATGATACCTTCATCAATAATTCATGTGCTGTTTCTTTTGTAGATGAATGGATTCATTGTTTGGTTTATAATATTTCAGAAATTGGTACAAAATGTCCAAAAGTGATGTCTTGTTTTGTCAGTCCCCAAAACTAAACATACTCAGTTTAATGTAAAAAAACAAACAAATGAAATCTCCATAATTGAGATGCTGAAAACATCCATGTTTTATTAATGAAAAATAACTTACTAATGATAACTTGATGATCAAAACGGTTGCCAATTATCTATCTGTCCTTTGACCAATCCATTCAACGTATAGTTGCAACTCTACTTCATATTGTTTACGCTTAACATTAAAGCTTTAATGTAAGGTTGTTGTTTTTAAGGTCAAAGCATGCTTTAAAGCAGGGGTTCCCAAACTTTGCCATGCCAAGGACCCCCATATAGCATGACCCCCCCTGTTGCAATTTTCTTTTTTAAATGATGAGTACATTATGATGGAGAATATGACAAATTAATCATATAACTTAATACATTTTCTTAATATATATTTGTATTAATAATTAATAATCAGTTATTCTTCTCAACATTTTTTTTATTTATATTTTGTTTGTCATTCATTACATGTAATGAATGTAATGTCATTACATTCATTACATGTCTTCTGTTATAAACATTCTTAACACAACATTAAACAGTACAACAGTAAACATGTTTTTAAAGCATTTTTAAAGTGATTTCTGTCTTTATAATATTATATAATTTTGAACAGTATTATGAACAATTAACATATTTATATTCAAATATATAAACAACAATATTTGCTACATCCGCGCACTCATCCAGCTGCAGAGCGAAATATTCACTAGCTCTCACTTGCTCCAAAAGCTGAGCAGATACTCAGTTTCACTCTCAGTGGCGGCAGCTCGATTCTGATTGGCTTGAAGGGCGGTCGTGTGATTTAAAAACAAAAACTATTAAAAGATTGGCATCAAAGAACACATAGATTGATAGATATGTAGTTATTAATAACATCTAACAAAAAATAAATAAATGAAACTTTAAAAAAAGAAAAAGATTCCCCTTTCCCTCAAACTTTGTGTGACCCCCCCTGGCGGCCCCCCGGGGGGTCGGGGCCCCCACTTTGAAAAACAATGCTTTAAAGGACCATCTGGAATATTAAAGATGCACTATAATAAGAAGTAAGAATGACGCCCAGCTGTGAGGCTTTTGTACTAACAGGAACAGGATAGTTTCCTCACATTATGGGTAAAAGGTCCTGCTCCAGCCTTCAGTGCTCCTCCTTTGTATTTGTCCAAAATAGCTGCAGTTTACAACATATCACCCCTGCCCCATATTGACACACAATGAATAATCAACCCTTACACTATAAAGCTGTTTACTTCAGATGCATGGGCAGATGAGTCTCCCAGAGTCCAACAAACCTCCAAAGATGCCTGTCGACTACAGCGGGACGTGGGACGTTGTCAGCAACATCAACTCTGAAGCATACATGGTCGCACTTGGTAAGTGAATACCAAAAGAAACAAACTCTGCATTTCATTAATATTTTATTGTGATATGAGAGAACCCTCATGTATAATTGACTGTGTAGTTTATCTCTTGTCATTGAAACTTGTTCTCAATTAGATGAAAAACACGTTATCCATCCTCGGTGTGCATTCCTTTTTGTCAATGACCAGGAGAGTGCTATGTGGACATTTAATCATATTTACATTTGATTATACACAGCTGATCTGTCAGGGGGAAAAAAAGGAAGAACTTTGATTTGCTATTCCGCAAAATTAAAAATAAATAAATGATGACACCATGTGCATCCACATATAGAGGGGACTTTCAAAAAATGTTGGCAAATTCACAATTACATCAGTACTTTTACATGGCATTTTGCAGTTATATTTTCCATTGAGTATTTTCACAATCCTGTCTCTCCATGGATTGTTTTGTGGCACTGGTTTGATCCAAGATAAAATCCTGTTTGCGACATGTAAAAACTAAATCTGATAAGAGCATGGGGCACGTGGTAGCAGGGTGTATTTCAACAAGCTCCTCTCATTTTGACACAGGCATTGATTTTGCAACACGCAAGATTGCCTCGATGTTGAAGCCCCAGAAAGTGATTAAGCAAGACGGAGATTGCTTCATAATCCGGACATTCACCACTTTCAGAAATTATGAGAATTCATTCAAAATTGGTGAAGAGATCAAAGAGGTGACAAAAGGGTTGGACAACAGGACAGTTCAGGTAAAAACTTTGAACACATTGAGATGATTATGTGCATGCATTATATACATGTATTAAAGCAACACCGCCCTAATGTATTTTGCTGTGCTTGTATATCTTTTTTGTTTTCTCTATCAGTCGGTGGTGAACTGGAAGAATGATAAGCTGGTGTGTGTGCAGAAAGGAGAAAAGAAGAACCGGGGGTGGACTCACTGGATGCAGGGGGACGAGCTACACCTGGTATGACTATTTTATTCGGGTGGCCCCTTAGTGCCAGTTACTGTCTTTTATCAAAATGTTCTCGCATGAAATGTTTATATTTATATTAATTGGTGGACTCCCTTTTTACCTTTAACACCTCTGAACACTGTTATGCAGCTTAGCAAAGTTAACATATTCCAAAAAGGGTTTTGAGCTTCTTATTTCAAATCATAAACATTATTCTTTACTCAAAATATAATAATGAAAGGTAGAGCAAAAAGCTAAAGTATAACAAATGGAATATACTGACAATACTAAAAACTTGGCCTGAATTATAGTTATTCTATATCTGTCTTTTATTTGCTGCTATCATGTGAAGTATTTCAATAGAACTGATGAGGAGGTGATCTATTTTTGTGTTACAAATCACTATAGCACAGTACTTGACATGTATGAATGGTAATTATGCTCAATTTACAAATGATGGAAATGTTAACAGCTTCATGTTTTCTCTTCCTAGGAACTTACTTGTGAGGATCAAGTCTGCAAGCAAATCTATAAAAGGACTCTTTGAATGTGTCTTCAAAAGAATCAGACTTCCTACTCCATTTGTGTTTCCAGGAAATGAAAAAGCAGCATTTTCTACACACCCTTTCAATAAAGAGCATGGCATTTGAAAATAGTGTGTGTCAGTGTGTGATACATTTATGCCCACAGAAGTACGATGAGGAAATAATTGGTTCTTACTGGTTTAAAGTCTTGAAAATGATCAGGGACATACTTTGGGCAATAATCTAACAGTACAACGTTGTCATTTTAGGTTCAAACTTGTATCAATAGTCATCAGGACTTTAAGAAAAAAGAGGATAAATGGCTTCCATACAAACTATTTGTGTACACTGCAAATGTGTGTGTTTGATATTGACCTGACCTTGATTAGGTACATCTGTACAATCTAATACAGTCTGATAAAACTGTTCTGATATAAAGTTCAATTTTTTATGATGGTGTTTCTAACATTCTGCCTTATTCAAATTGTAAATAGTTTGTAAGTAAGCAGGTCACAAAATAAGGAACACTTCTCTATGCAATAGTCAAGAACACCACTGCAAAATACCTCTGTGTGTAGTATATAATTAAATTGAAGTATTCCTAACATTGTCCACAAAAATGTAACATTTGTCAAGGTAGAATTTATGACAGAGCTGCTGCACCATAAGAGTGTTCTCCACTGGGAAAATGGGATTACTATTATTTTATAATTAAGTATATAGAAATACAGCATGTGCCCGGAGGCTAAATATAGTATGACGCTTCTTTAATTTCATGAAGGGAAAGTTGTGGGTACAAATCACGGAAGCATTATATTATATATTATACAAATGCCTCGCCGTTGCAGTTCCTCCTCCGGGCCACACGGGGTGGTGTACATTAAGCATCGAGTTAAACTCGGGAGTTGTTGGTATGCTGTTGAATTTGTACCGCGAGTTTTTGTTTATTTCAGCTCATGTGCCAAACAACACTGTTTAAGTCGTGTTTCTGTCTGACAGACCTTAGTTTTGTAGGATTTTCTTACTCGGTCACTCAGTTGAAACAGCTGTGGTCGAAAGTTTCTCCGGAAGAAAATGTCTGATGATAAAGATGAGACTCAGCAGGTGAGAAAGTGATTTTGATGTGTCTGTGTTTGGCTAATATTAACGTTAGTGTGTGTATTTCACATAGTCCTATGTTGCACAGTTTATCCTCTTTGACACATCAACGAGAGTTTCAATGTGTGGTACTCTAGGTCTAATACATAAATCACATTATACCTACTACCGCGGTGATGTTAGTATTCTAGGGTGGATTTTCCACAAAAAATAAATACGGTTTTCATCCTGAGTTTCTCAGACTGTCTGCTGTCAGAAGACTGTTAGCTCACATCCGAGCCCTCGCTATTAATAACAGGATTACATTTAGGGACCGTCAATACAATTCTGCCTTGATTTGGAGTCATAACGTCAAAAGTCATGGACCCTAAAAAAAATCCAAGAAACTTCAATAAGATTTTTTTTCTTCCAATAATTATTCACATAAGGTAGAAGCTGCACTAGAATCGAATTTTAAAAAATAAATAAATAAAAATTTAAAATGTTTGTTTTTTTTCTAGTAGATAAAGCTGGAGTCACTGGGTCATGATAAATAGAACCAATTATTCTGAGTGATACTTTTTAGTAAAAAAAAACTATTAGATTATCATTACAATGTTCTTGTAAAATATAATAAATTGCACTAACATCCAATAAAAAGAGGTGTGTCCTAATGCTGCGTAGATTGTATTGGTTCTTAATACATGGAAGCTGTTGAAAAAGATCCAAAAGACAGAGTATTGAATACTGATGTGATCATTTCAGTTTTTCGCACTAGATTGCATATCATGTCATTTGGTGACTCAAACTTAATGCCATTTTAATGCAGATTTAATTACTATACTGGGCGAATAAAACATTTTAATTGGATTTTGTTTTTTGAATTTGGCAGAGAACGTTTTTACTATTTAAACTGCATTTGAAACATCCAACTGTCTTTTGTTTGTTTGTAAAAGGAACTATGAAGGCAATCTCTCATAGTGTTATGACACGTTTGTATTTTATATAATACGAAGAATACAGGGAGGACCCTTCCGGCAACCATTGTACTATGGTTTAACCTGAGGCACAGCGCCACACATAAAACATACTTTTGATTTTTTTGTGATCCGAGTTGGTATTTTGAATTTCAGAGGTTAAAGGCAGCAATCCATTTCACCGTTGGTCGCCTGTGCCAGATGACGGGAGAGGACAACCGGAGAGGGTTCAGCCGACAAGCTGTAGCAGCGATAGCCGAGACAGCGTTCAGACAATGCGGTGGGTGTCATAAAGCTGGCGTTAATCCAGTTTAAACTTTTTGCATCCTTTTTTTTTAACGACATACTATACTTTGACATATCTTTTTTTAATGATATACTATACTAAGACATGCATTGGATTGTTATAACAATTTAATGACTATTTTACTGTGTGTTATGACATACACTCAGAATCATAAACTATGATTTTCTTTCATTAAATATGTTTTATTAAAAAGTATTAACTATGGCATTTGTATTGCATCTTTAAATAGGCAGGGTTAATGTTCTACAAAAAAAAAAATCAAGGTTTGTACAGTTCACCAATTGTGTTTGTTGTCTTTCCATCAACTTATCACACCATTACTGACATATGTGTCCACCAGAGGTACAACTGAGGAGTTTGGTACAGTAGTTCTTTTATTTTGTTTACTTTTTTAGTAATTCCTAAATGCACACAAATATAAATTAAAGTCCAGTGATGTAGAACACAAAGCCTGTTTATGCACATTGGATAGCTGCCATTCTTATTGTAGATATACAGTAGAGATGGATTAGTGCCACACAACCCTGTCATCCACATTTAGCCAGTTTACTGTCCACTTCACTTTGTTAGCTCCAATAAAGGATGGTCTCTGCGTGGCTGCCACACACTTGTTTTTGTAAGGTGTCCAGAATATTGTCATAAAACATTCCACTTGTTCCAAAGGTTTTCATTTTCTACACACACAGTATATAAATGTTAAATTGAAAAGCATAACCTCCTTTATAGGTTTTAGGCCAAATTCTGGAATTGGCTGTTTTGCTAGTAATTGAGTTTGACTAAAAATAATTTAGATACATTTTTCTCATTTAAAAAAACCATATTCAGATTAGGAGACTGCTGTTGTTTACGAGTACTGATTCGTTTCAACAATAGACACATGTATGTGAAAGAGGTTAACAAACCATTTCTACAAGTTTGAACCATAACTGTTTTCAATAAGTCAGTCTAAACTTTACATCCGCTCACTTTTTACAGATGTATTTGCTAAAGACTTGGAGGCCTTTGCAAGGTGAGAAATATATTTTTTCTTACCACAAATCAATGGGTTATCTGCCTACTGAACTTTGATTTATAAAAAAAAGCTTTTACATAAAACCTCCAATCTACATCATTACTTTCAGACATGCTAAAAGAAGCACAGTGAATTCAGATGATGTGAAGCTCATAGCCCGTCGCAGTACAGCATTGGTGAGTTATTTCCACTGGGGAACCCTACAGAACCTGGTCATGTATTGTTATGTCTAGTTACCTTAAAGCAAGCACATATAAACATAATGCATTATACTCAACCTATGTAGGGGTATGTATATATTTTACAGCACACAGCAAACATTGTTTTAAATTTGCTTTTATTTATTTCAGTCCATCCACATACAAAAGAAAACTGAAGAACTGAACCAGGAAAAGAAGAGTACTGGGAAGAGGAAAAGCAGAGACACTGAGGAGGAGAGCAAAGAATAAGGAAAGGACACAGGCAGCCCTGCAGTGTCTCACTTCTGCCCAACATTCAAAATAAACTTGAAGGCTATTAGCAATAATTTAAGTGTCAAGGCTGTCATTTAATGTTATGGGGACTCTACACTTAAGGCATTTTATAAATAACTTATCTGTCCTGTGACAAAATTAAATGTGTGCATTTGGCAGAACTCTGCTTAACGATGTACCTGCCTTGTTTCTTTAAACTAAAATATGTAATAGTACAGTTGACTATTTTGAATGTGCACACTGATCACTTAATAGGTATGCCTGTATTATCTAAAGAAATCTACATCTGTCATAGAATCTACAAAATGTCTCGTTGACTCTTTAACTATAACCTTTATATTTTACTGTTCTGTAGTACATTCTTATGCAAATGGTGAGGATAAAACCTAAAAGAGGTCACAATATTATGGACTACATTACGGTGTTAAACTTGAGTCAACACATCTGTCAATGTAAAATAAATGTTTGAAACTATCGAAGAGTATAATTTATAGCTGAGGTTAACTTATTTCTGACCAGAGCTACAGGTGTACTGTATACAGTTGTTGCTAGGTTTATAAGGCCATCTAAAAGTCCCTTATTTTCAGAAACATGTCAATAACTGAATTACTGAAAATAGATAGTTTGGAAGGATGATGCCAGACTGCTGAGCTCACCCAGTTGGGTTTAAAATGAAGACAATGACACACTACCCATCTTAAAATATCCCTCTAACCTTGAAAGTTGCTGTGGATAATCAAAGGGGATCATTCACTCCGACAAGCCAGCAAAAGCAAAAAGACTGGTACTACCCCATGTCTGAGAAGGCCACACACTGAAAGTATTGGTACTTCCATCTTCGTCCTTCAGAACAGACTTCAGTCAGGGTTCAAACGGAGACCTCGACCAGCGGAGCCCAAGGTCCCTAGATATGTGAATCGAATTAGATGTTTTTTTATTTGACAAACCGACCCAATTATTTTACAACTAAGCATCTATTCAAATGAACTTTATTAGAGAACTCCCTCCATTTGACATTTTTTTTTTTTTCAAACACCTCACAAACAACACAAGAGCTGCTGGGAACTATTGGACACACCACTCCACGCTCACACTATCACTCGCGTCCCCCAGAGTCTTCAGCAGATGTCATCCACATCAAGAACTCACTTACAGATCAGTTCAAGAACAGGAAATCACACACCATACATCATTCAAATCAGATAATATAAGCAATACAAATATCCATCACAACATTCCACTACATTTTGATATTTCTGCACTTGATCAACATACTTAAGAGTAAGGAAAACTTGCAAAGATAGAGAAAAAAAATCTTGAAGTACTACTTAAAGAATGTCCATGTTAGGGGAGATGCTCGTAGCATCCGCAGCTTCCACTCACACATTCAAAAAGCAATCAAATTGGGCTCTTTCACTGCACAACCAGTCCGTTTCACGCGTCTCTCCGTTCGCTCACTCATCGCTTCACTCTTCGTCACAAGCCATCCTCAATCGCACTCATCAGTTCTTAAAATGTCAGTTGCGCAGTTCTCTCCATTTAAAAGTGGATAAAAGTGAAAACACCCACCGTCTCTTAGAACATGCGGAGTGAAGCCGTTCTTTGATGGCATAGCATTTACAGGTGGGAAGAGGGAGAATGATACCGATATCACCCCAAGAATGCTGCCATAGAGGAGCTTCCTCACAGGAAAATGGAAGAGAGGTGAACTGCAGAAGAGATTTCAATGAAGGCTTTTCCACAGAACTTGACTGCAAATAAAGTTGCATTTAAAACATTTAGGTTTCAACCAGATTCTTCCCAATGCAAGATTGCCTTTTAGGTTGGTGACAAAGCCGCATGATGGTGATCCATAAACATTCATGCTTTTTTCAAAATGGCTATATCACATTTCACAATACATGCATTAGAGAATCCAGTTGAAATGGATACAAACAAATGAGACGTCAAAAATAGCACTTTAGTCAGACATCCTGCTAAACAACTCACTGCAAAACTTTCTAAATTAAATCTTTAGCTTTTTTTCAAAATGTACAAAACATCTTCCACTAAAGTGTTACGTTTGTCAGATACGCAATAAAACCAGAAATAAAAATGTGAAAAGACTCATCTCTGTCACAATACTTACCATACAGACATTTCGTTTACATACCCCACCCAGATGACTTTGACTCCATACTGGACCCAAACCCTGAGCTAAACCCACTACCGCTGGTTGTAGAGTTTGACCCTGTTCCCCAGCCGAGACTGGCCGAGCTGGCGCCGTAGTTGCTGTTGGCCGCACTGAAGGACTGACTCTGGTCCCTGCTGGAGCTAGTTCCACTAGAGGTGCTGCCTGGGGTGGCTGTCTGCTGTTGGCTAGCTAGCATTCCCATCATCCCCCAACTACTCTGAAGAGCTGCCTGGGCCGCAGCCATCATAGCCGGATTCAGACTGAAGGAACCAAAATTAGACAGACTACTGTTAGCGCTGCCCCCGCTAGCCCCGCTACGGCTGCTACCAAAAGCCTGAGCTCCGAAACCATTTCCAAACCGCGTTGTGCGATCAAACTGCCTATTGCCGTGTTTGGGCTCAGCATTTGAGATGTGAACACTGACACCTTTAATTATTAGGTCCTCTCCACAGAGAGCCTGGGCAACCTGTGAGGGGAAATAAAGACATGAATCAGGTCATCAGGGCAGTGGTACCACTACAACAATGAGTTCTTCTAAAAATGTAACATTGTACCTGATCATCTGAAAATGTGACGAAGGAAAAAGCACGGAATGGCTTTGGGATGAAGACATCTGTGACTTCGCCATACTGTATAAAGAACTGCCTCAGGTCGTCAGTGGTCATGTCTTCTGTGCAACGGCCTACAAACACCTTCCGGCTCCTCAATGGCTCATCGGGCCCTTGCTGTAAACAAAGGGGTTACGGTTAGAGTTGTGTCAACATTAACACCTTTTTTATTTACATAATATATGCTGGTTGATACATGGCTATTACAAGATTCACCTTTGAGTTAGGGAGCTTGCAGTCACACCATCTTCCATCAATCATATGGCGCTGGGACACAACCTTTTCTTGAACCTCATATTCTGTGAACCTCACAAAGCCAAAACCTTTAGAGTTTCCAGTCTTGGCATCTCGTTTGACCTGTAAGTTAAAAACAAGCATTGAGGAATAAAAAACTGTTGTCAATCATACAACCCAGGGCAATGTGTATTTCACTATTGTTACTAATGTTATACCTGAACCATGATGACCTCTCCAAATGTGCCAAAGTAGTCTTTCAGGTCCTGCTCAGATGTTTTCCAAGGAAGGCCCAGTACAATCAGATCCGATGTTTTCATATCCCCTCTCTTCATTTTCACGGCAGATGAAGCGTCAATTTCCTCCATTTTCCTTTTGTTGTCTGAAGTGTGACCAACACACAGAGAAATTGAATGTAATTTAGCCAGATAGCTACTGGGTGATCACTGGTTTGAAAATATTTGTTTACTATCCTGCTAATATTTAATAAAAAAAATCCAGGGTGAGTAATGTATGACATATATAAAAACAATCGTATGTTATGATTGTGTAAATAATAATAATAATAAAGATTAACAGTTGAAATAAACAGATATACTGATCACCCGGACAGTGAACAATAAATTAAATTAGGCTTCAAATGCTGCTGGCTTGAACCCCATTAGTACTAACAAATGCCATGTTCTTAGTTTGCATTATTAGATTGTTTTGTGTTAATAAGGACGGTTTTTCCTAAGAGGGGGTGAATTTTTCAGGTTTACATTTATCAAATTAATCTCCCTAAATCCATATTTGTATGTGTCGTTCAGATCATTTACTTTTAAACGACTAAGCAGTTCTTAGAGTAGAGTAACGCATTAGCTAAAGATACTACAACGCTTGACTAAATGTATTCCCATACGTTTAAATAAAATAGTAATTGCACATTAGAGGCTGTTGATTTGTGATCTAGGTTTTCCACTTGTATATTAGTTAAATCATTTAGTGTCATTAGAGCGCACTTCGTGGGCGTGGACGAACAAACTACAGGTCACGTCATTGTCATCTATTTTCAGTGTTCTCAAGCTACATCATGAATTATAAATACCGTTAACAACACCTGTTAGAATTAAGTGTTATGTAAGATAATTAAATATTAGGTGCCCATATCTACCTTTCGGATAGTTCACCACAAACACGACATTCCCCCATCCGTTTTCTGGTGCGTGTAGGATCCCTTCCACCAGACGCACTCCCCTCATGCACTGAGACACGGGGCTCCTGAAGCGTAGGCCGCAAGCCCCTGGAAACTGAGCCGCCACTGTTGAAAGCAGAACAGTACCGTCGTCCTCGGACGGAATCTCCATTGGCTCCTCATTTTCCTCCTCAGCCACTCGAATATATACTTCAGCCATTGTGCCAAAAACTAAAAAGTACCGGCTAGAATGAAAATAAGGCTAAAGTTAGCAGTTAGCTTACCAGTTGTCCACAATCAAAGCTAACGTTAGCCGATGCTGCTAACAAGACTGAATGATCAAGCCAATTGTTTTGTTATTCCGATAAAAAAATATATAAAGTTAAAATCCCATAACAAAAAGGTCGTTATGGTGAGTTTTAGCTGAATTGTTGTATAATATCACTCTCCAAATGCACTAACAAGCGTGCACCAGCCTTTTCCTTTGTTCGTCGCGGGTTTGTGTGTCGTCAACACCGAACGAGCGCTCAACTGTGCCTCCTAATGAAAACTGCGTAGGGTCCGTCGTTAACAAACCTAACAACGCGATATCGTCAAAAATAACGTGGGCGGGTCATCCAACGTAAGCACGAAGCTCTTCTTGTCTGAAGTAAGAATAACAGAAGGAAATGTATTTATTTTTCCACGATGCGAAATATTTTAAACCACCATGTACGGCCTACAAAAATGGTTTTATTTCAGCGAAAAGGGAACTACGTCATTAGAATGGGCTATTTCACTTCATGGGGGGTTTTGTTTATGCAGTTTCTTTAATATAATAAGTAATTAACTCAATGGTCCTTATAAATCAAACCAACATTACTATTACCGTAAAAACAATAGTTATTTCAATAAAATCTAATACAACTCAATAAATTGTATCGTACTCATACATTTGATTTCTCTCTCCCGTTGTGGTTAGGTAGTAAATCCACTAGAGCAGTTTCCGTTAGCTAGTTGTTATTATGTTTGTTGGCAGAGAGAAGAGATGGGAAGATGGCGGTTGCTATGAGTCGTACAAATTTAGAAATGAAGATTACGTGTCAATTACAACATATTTAAACTTATTACGTTCAAATGAAAAGTTGCACACTTATGTTACCTCAAATCAACATTAACGTCCGTTTGAATGACGGTGTTATGGTGTCTGTAAATGTCGTTTGCATTGTTCAATTACCTGCGTGTTTCTTTGATCTTAAACGAAAAATCAACTGATCATAATTATCTTTAAACATTGACATTTATTGTCGACGTTTTTTTGAGTGATATGTTTGTTCGAACACTATAAAATAATATACAAGTCTGCTCAGTAGTCTGTTAGACGAACATGTATTCCAGTCCCACCTAACATATTGTGTACTCCAATTCTTTATCTTTACTAAGCAATATGTATGATCCTGTAAATACATCAGAAACCCTATAATAGAGGGGATATGAAATATTAATTCCACGAGAATACAATGTGCATTTTGATAAACGAATATAGACAGATTTATACCCATGACTATATTATAGTTCCGATGAGTCCGAATGAAAGACCTTATTGTAAATCAAGTAGTTGTTTTTACTTTTAAATGTTGTCTTGTGTTGCTTGTCTCTCACTTTACTCCCTGGGGAATAGTGAAGCTACAGTATCTCTGGACAACTCTTTCTAAAGCACATACATGCAATATCGGAACGACACATCAGTAATAAAATGTGAATACAACAAACATCTGATGCAGCTTTTATATTAAAACACGACAAAGAGATCTCAAACAGCTTTTTATTACATTTTTCAATCAACAGTACAATTTAGTACAGTATCTATCTTGCATCCAGCTCACCGTGTAACACCAACAGACTGAAATGAAATACAAAAAGTGAAAAGGTACATAAGGGTGCAGAGCTCTATAATATTAATGGAAAGAGAAAAGGGAATCCATCTCAGTTGAATTGCATTTTCACTTGTGGCCACACACGAATACATCACATTTATTGTACATCATCGCAGAAAAAAAGAAAAGTGAAAATATGTCACAACTTTAACAAAAGTGCTTCTGTATACAGTGAAATGTTGTCATTCAGATGCTCTGATTTTTCATTTAAGACCAAGAACAAAAATGTACAAAAGTTTTAGTATGGACAGTATGTGAGGAAGCTTTTGTTCCATTGAGTGTGAGGATTTGAAGGAGAGAAAAAGGTTTGTCAAGGATAGAATTCTCACAATGATTGTTATATTTATTACAAAAATTGGCATCAATAGAACTGGTAAGCATAATTTACACTAAGTATGCAGTCAATATTAAGTTTTTCTCCATTCTTGCTTACTCTGGTGCATAGCGTTACCAGTATTAGTACAGGATGTATGCAGAATTTGAGCCAAAAATTGGCTTGTGTTAAATTCAAATCAATAGGTTACTCTCATTTTCAGAAACAAAAACAAAAAAAATCTAGGATTTTGCACCATTGAAAGCAAGTCTACAGCATGCACATCTAAATTAACTCATGGCAGACAAAATTAAATGTCAACTTAAAACATCAGACCATTATTTTCAGACATTGATTTGTACATTTCATTCACAGAGTTGCAACTGCAGTCCCAAGCAAAGGAAGTGTCTATTTAGTCAGGTGAGGTGTTTCACTCAAAGTGGATACTACACACATCCCCCCCCATCCATATAATAAAATCCAGCCATGCCCCAATTATCTCAGCATCTACCTTGCTACCCCACCCCTTCCCACCCAAAGTCAAAGGCATGTACAAGAATTAAGGGGGTTAACTGGATAAGTTACTCGTAATAACTCCTTTTGTACTGGAATGAGCATTCATAACTTATAGCATGTGCTTGGTTAGTTAACATAGTATTAGTTTAGAGGCAAAGCTTCTTCATGTGCAAAAGGCTGTGATGAAACAAAAACAGCTAGTATATAAATACATCATGGACATTTTGAAAGCTGCTCGTGTAATATGATCCAAGCTTTTACTTGCTGCATGTTTACTCTCTTCTGTCGTATATGATTAAACTGGATTAGAATGACAAGCTGTATTCAAACATATCTAAAACCACTAAAGAAATATGACAAAAGGAAAGCCATCAAGAATAACAAACCATCAGAATAGAATTCTTTAAAAAAAAAAAAGTTAAATAATTTGTACAATTACACTCCAACATTTGCTTTCAAGACGCACACATTTGCATGGGATGATAGTGTTGTTTTCTCTTTCAAGGTAACATAAAATGGTCCAAGAAGGAATGCACAAGTTTCTGATTTGATACCACAGGAGATCCTTTCTTAACTAGGTGATAAACAATTGTGCTCTTCTTTGTGTAGGAAAGGCATTGGTTTCCCTTCGTTTTTGTGGTGTCCATGTCCGTTTAAACAGTGTTGAAGAAGATGCTGTGAACATTCTGAAGTTGTAATGGTCTTCCAGTCAACTTTGGAGTTAAAAGGACATCTGGGAACAAAGACAGAGGAATTTTAGAATGTATCTTGTCTGACTTGATCTATAGTCTATATGCCAATTTAAAGTTATGTGATTTTAGGACCTAACAAGCAAAGGTCTGACAAAAAACGATGGAATGACACAGACTAGCGTAAACATTAAGGAGGCTGCAACCTACTGCAGAGCAAGTGTAACATGTTTGGAATTAAAAGGAGGCTGCCAAATGTAGTAAGTATTTTATGAATTTATTAAAAAGAAAACGTTTGGTGAACGAATTTGGTGTAAATAACTACTTTAAAACATAAACATGGTGTTCATACATAATAATATTCTTTTCCAAGGCTTTAAAAGACAAAAAAAAAAACTTTTCTCAAAGTTCTATTTCATATTACTATAATGGCGCATTTCCACTACAGCGCGTAGCTTGCTTTAAGCGCGCCGAGCCGTGCGGGGCCCGTTTTTGGTTGCGTTTCCACTTGGCGTAGTTCCGGCTAGCGGGTACTATTACCCAGTTTTTCTGGCCCCATAAAATCGAGGTTCTTTCCGGGCCAACAACCAGGCTGAGTCAGGCTGAGTATGCTAAACTAGAGAGAGAATCGCTGGCAAGGGGGCTACAACTACAACAAGATGAACATATTTGACCGTGATTTAATTGTAATACACATTTCAAAATGAAGTAACAACATAATGATACCGGTTAGTAAAAACCATGAATTAATGCTTTGACAAGTCTGCAGACAGACGGCAGGCGAAAAACCTTTTAAAATGCGTGTTTTCTAAATGGAGATCGGCTAAGCTAACGTTGTATATGCTCTGACCATCCACACTCACAACAACGGCCTATACAGACATAAATAAACCAGCGACTGTATTCGCCATGACACAGACAGTCTGTGGTTTGAACTTGATTAACTTTTGTCTAGTTTCTGAACAGACATGAGGAGCTGTGAGCTCTGAGGGCTAACAGCTAACGGCTGATGTTGGTTTTCTGGGGTTTCACTGAAGATGGCGTCACGGCTCCGCCTACACTGTGCTACTAAAGTTACTACCCCAGTTCCTAAACTGTAATGGAAATGCGCCATAAAGTGAGCCAGGCCTACCAAGGCCGAACCATACCGAGCGAGGCCGTGTAGTGGAAATGCGCCATAAGTGACAGTAGATCCTTTTTGTGGGGCTCCAATTGGACACTTTTTAAGATACAGCATGTCTGGTGTGAAATAAATGTAGCTTTTAAAAGAAATTATACAGGCAGTTGTAGTTCTGATGCTTATCTAGATTGATTCAAACTTATATATGCAGTCCAACATAAAACTAAGAAACGTAAAGATGTTTCATTGCACCCACGTGGTACTTTTGAGTACAAGAAGATGCTATGCTGCTACAGGCTTTGGACCTTACTAGGAATTAAATAGCTTAGGGACAAATGTAAGAACATGACAAACAATAATAATGATTTAAAAATATAAACCTTCAGGCTTCAATTCCAGATCTTCAGAAAACTGTCCCAGGATCCTGTCGCGACTGCCATGCCATCATCAGTAACTCCCAGGCAGCTAACGCGGTTGTCGTGTCCAGCCAACACACCTAGAAAAATACAAAAATGTAAAAAAGGTAAATTATTTTTGACGAACGGATATTCTTGAAACATAATTCTACATAGGGCTTCTATTTGAGCTATGCTTAAGCTACGTACCAGCACGGTCGGCTTTTAGTGTGTCCCACACGTTACAGTTGAAGTCATCATATCCGGCCAGAAGAAGGCGGCCACTCTTGGAGAAAGCAACAGAGGTGATGCCACATATGATATTGTCATGAGAGTAGATCATTAATTCCTGATCAGCACGCAGATCGAACAGCCTGCAGGTGGCATCATCGGAGCCCGTGGCAAAGGCATTGCCATTAGGGAAGAACTAAAAAAGAAAAATTACAAAAAGATAAATCATTAATGCACAATAGAGGAAAATAAAACAAAAGTACATCTATATCAAAAGGAACACATCCCAAAATGCTAAATCAAGTACAAGAAAAACTACGTACACAGATGGCATTGATGTCAGACTCATGGCCGGTGAATGTCTGTCTGCACATGCCCTCTCGAACATCCCAGAGTTTAGCAGAGGCATCACAAGCACCAGAGACGAATAACCGTGTGTCAGGGGCCAACGACAGGCTCATGACATCGCCTGTGTGTCCAGCAAATGTGGTCGTCTGCTGGCCAGTCTCAATGTCCCAAAGTGCACTATA